TAGTGACATTCGAGTTTTGACACTCCCTTAGCTCACTTACAAAAGCTTTTCACACACACACGAACCCACACACAGTGCCTTGTTAAGAAAGCCGATTTTTTCAAGAGATAGCGTAAAAACTGATTTTTGAGCAAACCTTTTATTATTGAATCATGCCTACAGCTGATTGTTTTTGGGTGGGATTGACAACCTACCAATCAATCTTGGTTGTTTGGTACAAACACATATCTCATATTTAAATACCCAATATTGGCCATTTAAGTGCAAATTAAATGCATGACCTGAAAATGAATAGAAGAAGTTAATCAACAATCTTTACTTAAATAGGCTATCTGAAATTGGGCCTAAGCTACTCGAGTTTCCGTGTTTGAATGCAGACTAAGCAGTCTCTAGTCGCTAATAGTGACTTTTCGTAATGAACTTCGCTTTTTAGACAAGTTGATATTCAGTATGCTGTCTCACGTCCCTAGTCTCAAAAAAAAAAGTCTCTCATTTGACAGCTGGCTCTGAGCTGGTCGCAAAAATTAATACATGGAGCAAAAGGCAATTGCTTTCTGTTTTATTTAAAAATATTTGTCCAACCACAATTGCATTAGGAAATAATCTAAAATGCTTTAATGTCATAAGCATTACATTAAAACAAAACATTAAAATCTAAATTTTATGTAAACTAAAATTAGCAAAAATAAATAAATAAATGAAAAATCCTCTGCGCCCGAGAAGGACTTGAACTCGAGCGGCCTTCTAATGCTTGATCACTTGGGCCTTGTTACTCTAACCGCCATACCTAAACAAAAGCATCAACGCTACGTCAAATGCGGAAATAACATCAACAATAAACATAGGTTTGTAAAGCAGGGATCACACGATTTGTACATTTACATATTTGGCAACCACAGAGCGGTGTTGTCTAGAAATTTGTACCAAGAATGAGTTCAGCTCAACAACAACTTTCCAAACAACACCTCTCTGTTACTGTGAAAATGTACAAATCTGGACAAATGTACAAATCGTGTGATCCCTGCTTTAGTGTGTAACATGGAAATGACAGTTTTGCCTTTTCCTGCAGCCAGTTTCAATACCTAACAGCATCGCCAGACGAACATGCTAGCACTGGGCGAATTATATTAGTAGAGGGACAAATTCCAAAAGAAAATTCGTCTTGGTAACGGATTTCGATGCGGGTATTTTTTTTTTCGATACTTACTCAGTACTTGGTTCAAAAGTATCGATACCAAAATTACTTGGTATCGAACGAAAAGTATCGAGTATGTACTTGTATAAACTCGTATCGTTTCATACCTAACCGTGACTTTTGTTTATCAATCAAGTTGGATAGTTTTATTTTTGATAAGTAAATTATCTCCGTTGTCCGTTGCCTGCAAATATGTTTGTAGACACACATAATCGCAAATCAACTAATAGAAAGAACATGATGAAGTGACAAAGAAATCATTTTAAGTGCATCGCGACAAATAACTCTACGTACTTGCATGCAAATGTATGTAATTCTGATGTTTTCTAATCATTAATTAAACATAACAGTAGAAACTGACGTGGCCGTCAATTCTAGCAATTCCTAATAGCATATGAGTGTTGGGCGTTATGATCATTGCATTTATAAGCTGAACGCTGGGTAATTCGGTGCATAGTCTGATTACGTACAGGTTTAGAAGAGCATTACCGGACGTGGAGGTGATACTAGGTAAATATGTAAATAATAATATAAAAGATTGGCGCTTACACATATGAGCTTCTTCTCCGATTTGTGGCGTGCGCCTTGATGTTGTCACACAAAGTGTGAGCCAAAATCAATCACGCGCCCATCTCAAGTGCATTATATTAAAACCAGCCTCCCCACTATAGTTAATATGCCGTACTAACGCAGATATAGAGTTGGCTTTCCAATAAGGGCAGTCGTTAAAGGGGTGGTGGGCGAAGGGGGAGTGTGCGTGGCACCTCCAACCACCCTTTTTGGAGAGGACATGAACCGCCATTGACAAAAATGTCACCCCCGACCTAGGCCCCCTATGGTTCCCAGATATATTTCTGTGAAGGCTAAATAATAAAAAAATTCACACAACCATAACTCACAAACAGAGGTAAAAAATATCCATCCCCAATTTGAAAGTATCGTAAAATAACCGTGAATATTTAAGAGAAAAAATAACCCACAAAACAGAACAGGTGGTTTATGCGGAGCCATTCAAATTATTAATTTGGTCTTGTGTACATATTAAAGTATGGAGTACATACATATTTAGAAGTGTGGAGTGCTTGTTTAATTAACTATTTTTCTTTATAGCGCAAATATGAGTTTATCAGACATTTCGAACAAATTCACTGAAAAAACTTTGGATGAAATTGTCCAAAAGGCAGGTGGTACCAAACACACTTCCTACAAATTTGGGCCAGGTTTCAAGAAGGGCGATTCTTATCTAAGCAAAGTGTTTCGGCTTACTGTTGACGGCGTTAATGAGAAAAATGGGTACATACACAAATTACTTATTTTAAACTTAAAACTAGTTTTTTGTCAATAACTAAAAAAAAAAACCAATTATCATTATTTCAGCTCGGTCCTTGAAGTCCATCTCATTTGCAAAGGTATGCCCGACAACGTCGCACGCAGAAAAGTATTTCATTCCGCCGACTTCTTTCGCAATGAAATAAACTTCTACACAAAGGTTGTGCCTGCCTGGGAGGCTTTCCAAGCCCGTCGCAAGCCCACAAATCCTTTTACCGAATATCCAAAATGTTTTGCATCACATTGTGATGGCGAAAACGATTTCATTGCACTAGAAAATGTCAGTTTCCGAGGTTATGGTGCACCAAACAGACAAGATTATATTTCATTGGAAGATGCTTTGTTGACAATGCGAACATTGGGTCGATTTCACGGTATTTCTTTGGCTTTCCGCGCTTTGGAGCCAGAAAATTTTGAGGCGGCAGCAAAAGGTTTGGAGGTAAGAGTCTTAATTGTAAATCATTTTCTTAAAATGAAACAAAGTTACTATTCTACTCCTCTTAAAACGTTCAACTTTTCAGGAAACCTACTACAATGAAGGTAAACGTTCCTGGTACATTGGCTTTCTTGGTTTAGCCTGCAATGTAGCTAAAGATGCTATTGAAAAAACCTATCCCGGCACTAAATACGAAACTATAGCTGCTAAATTTTTGCAACCTACACCGCTGTATGACGATCTTATCAAGCTCGTATCTACAGATTGTATGTGAAAATGATTCTTTAGAATTTAGATTTGGAGTTTATTCTTTTCGTACAAAAATTTCCAGCTCCCTTAGCTGCTATTGGACATGGCGATTGTTGGACACCAAATTTCTTAACTCGTTACTCAAAAGACAATAGTCCAGAGGCAATTATAATAATTGATTTTCAATTGGCGCGTCGAGCTTCTATCGCTTTAGATATATCATTCTTCATATACTCTTGTACAAGTGAGGAGCTGCGNTAAAGCGCGAACGTATTGCACAGATATTCAAACATGCCATCGACCAAAGCTATATAAAGAATTAAAGTCACAATAAGTACAATAAAATTGCCTATACATATATTTTTAGTCAAAAATTGTAACATTCATTTTTATTTTTAATATTACTATATGCGAATTTAAATAAATACATTTATGTACATATTTTAAAACTCCTACCGTTATTCAGAAAATACTTTCTATTTAACTACATCGGCCATTAAACGTTCTGCCAGCACAAATCATATTTGCTCTAGTAGACTGAATAGTTTGGGTTTGGTCAACACTCGAAATAATATGGCTATTTATAGTAAATTTATTAAATCAAAAAGTGTTTGAAAGAAAAAAATCTTATAGTTTCACTTAAGTTAACTGCTTACGACTAATATTTGAATTAAATTGAATCCTTTTAAATTCCTTGAAATCTATTTTGTTTTAGTTCACTTTGGCTGCGTTTCTTTATACATTCCAGATAATCCCATTTCACAGCCAGAATAAACAGAATGCGTTTGAAATATACGTTAACATATCATAAGGAACGTTCTAAAAAATAAGTAAACAAACAAGTTTATTCCAAACGTTCAGAATGAATAAAGAAATACAGCCGTTATTTACTTTTATAAAATTTTGCAAAGATTGCAAATAACAATTATCAACTTCAAGTATTCACATAATAACATCTCTCAGGTGATATTTCGTCGTACGAGTATTGCCTTCAAGTACAAATTAAATAAACTATTACCACGGTAGAGTACCTTTTCCGACTGGGTTGACTCTCACCTTCACCTACAGGCGGTTGTTCGATGATAGCCTTCTTTTGCAACCGAATAGCGACGCGACATTAGAAGGAATCCCGTCCAAAGCAACAATACTAACTCGCTGGATTAAATCTTATGTGGACGTGGAAGCTAACACTAGGCATACGCCTGTAAAAACTAAATTATTACATTATAAAATCTTTTTGTTTCTAAACGTAAAATTTTAAATACTGCGATGGCTACTCCACCTCTATAATAAGCCTGCCTTATCGCGAACAAATATTCCCAAAAAGTATAAAGACGAAAGGTAAAGACAACGTCGCCCTTACATTTGGCCGCAATTCATTGCACACCCTAAAAGATATAAAGCCCCGCAGTGTGCTACGGAAAGCACTTATGTAAACTCCCTCCCAAGACACACCAATGTGCTTTACAACGGAAGAGACGCAAGCCGCTGTCAACAATGCTCAGACGTTAGGCCTACTAGGAATCTCCATGCATAAGCTGAAAAAGATAGGACCTGCGGAAGTCGAGTACATAACCGCCGCTTTCAACTTGTGCCCGTCCACCCTGATCATCCCTGAGATATTGAAAATTGGTAGGATCATTCCCATTTTTAAGCCAGGGAAGATGGCGGGTGCAGAAGATTCGTATAGACCCATCTGCCTCCTATACCCAGCGACAAAAACAATGGAAGCACCACTCCTCAGTCTGACGAATCAAGTGAACACCAGCATGCATTCCAAAAAATGCACAGCATTGAACGCCATCACCGCACAGATAAACGAGGGTCTGAAACAACGTCGACCAGGTAATAGAATAATAGTGGATAACCAACTATTTGTTTCAAGCAGTTAAATTCAGCAACAACAAGTCTAAGCCGCGTAGAGTTCCTAGACCGAGGAGATTAGGCTCGAACTAGACGTTGATGGCGCCAAAATACCGACAGTCAACCACCTGGAAATTCACTTGTAACAAACTGTGAGCCGGGAACAAAGTCCTCAAGTCGCTAGCCGGAAGCACCTAAAGAACCGACCAGAAGACTCTATTCACAACTTACAAAGAGATCGGCCGGCCGGTGGCAAGCTTCGCAGCGCTAGTGCGGGCAGAACACAACATAATGCGCTCGATGTCATCGCAGGAACCACGCTTTGCTACGAAGCGATCCCTGACCCCGGAAACCTTATGGACTGCACCCGCTTTCTTGGCCTCAGGCTTGCAGAGGCGGAGGATGAAGATTACTCATAATGAAACCCGCAGGGTTGAGAACTGCATATGTATGTAAATGTACAACACGCTGCAACATGCCATCGATCAAGGCTATATCAAAACACTAGTCACAGAACGTACTTTGAGCAATCATATCCAAACATATTAAGTACGTTAAAAAGAATAACAGTTTTATTTTTTCTTATCAATATACAATTTTAAATAATTCTTCATACATATGTATTCTAAAAACACTGACCCTCATTCAGCACACACCATTTCGGTACTACCGCGTCAGCTTTGATGCCTCGTGATATAAGACGTTCTCGGTAACGCAAAAATCGTGTTTGCACCAGTAGGCTGGATAGTTTCGGATTCGCCCACAGTCGCTCAGCTGCGGCACCAGCGCGCGGCCAAGTGCGTGATTCTTTTGTCAAAACAAACAAAATTATTACTGCTTACCTCGAATGCATCTACATACATACTATGTATTTTCGCATCCACTTACCTATAGAACTTTGATCCACAAACTCACTCCACATGCACACCTCACCGCCCAATACCAAAGGATGCACTTCCATGCGATTGTCATAGACAGTTTTCCAATTGTAGTAGCTTGTGCGACCCCAAAAACCATGATCCAAATACCAGGCATTCTTCGTAGACACTATAAGGCGATATCCCTTCAACAGTAAATCGTTGTTCAGAGTTTTATCTGACTCTACCCACGTCTGTATGATGAAACGTTCCTTTGGCAAATGTTCGGCTATAATGCCGGGTCGGTTAAATGACTGGACCAAAGTATAACCGATTTAGGTACTGCAATACGTGGATATTGCCGTTGTGTTACATTGTCCCACGAGTCTAGGTTCTTGCGATGAAACTCCGACCATACCTTGTAAAAGCTGCGCAAACTTAAATCATAGCCTGTCTTAAGCATACTTCGCGTTATTTCCGCGGTACTATTCCAGCAGGGTATAAATACTTCGTCGCCTCCCATGTGAATGGTCTCTTCCGGTGCATTCACCTCAGCGAGATCTTCATAAATTTCCTTCATTATGCCATACATATTCTCGTTAAGTGGATTTAATTGGCCGCATGGCGGCTCGATACAATAGGAGCGCCAGGGCTGTTGGTTTACGCATACCGCCATGTTGCCAAGGCCTGACGCGGGGCCCCACTGCCAACCATTGCCGGCATGTGAAGGCCCATCGATTTCGATAATGATGCGTATACCACGAAGGCGTGCATAGCGCACCATATTGTGGGTGTCGGTGCGAGAGTAAACCATGTCGGGTCGATAAGCACCAAATCTAGAGATGGAAACACGAAAATATGGGAACATATATAAAATTAAATTTATTAAAGTTTTTTTATGTTCGTTGTTTTTTATTTTAATTACTCTTTAGATTTTATTTTTTTGAGAAGAAAATATTATTTTTAATTTTACTTAATTTTTAGCTTATTTTATTTATTTTTTCTTTTTTTAATTTAATTTTCTTTTAAAAGTTATTATTTTAAAAAAGATGATATTTTTTAATTTCACTTAAGTTTTAGGAACTTAATTAGTTTAGTACTTAGAATTTATTGTTTTAAAGAGGAAAAATTTTTTTATAATCATTTAATTTTTAGAAAGTCACTTTATAAATTTTTTCTATGTTTTAATTTAAGTATTTTTTATTTTTATTTTTGATTGTTATTTGTGATAATATAGAAATATTAACAGCCCATTTCACAAAAGCAATTTAAGTGAAAAATTTTTTTTAATTTTTTGAATTTTAATATGGAAATGGACAGAGAATTAAAAATCGTTTTCCATTTAAATTGCTGGTGAAACCGGCTGTAAGAATTTTTTATTTCATTTAACTTTTAGAATACTTATTGCTAACAGGCAAACAGAAAATCGCTCACACGTTCTCGTTAGCAGATTTTTCAATTAGCCTTTCGAAAGCCAGAAAAGAACTTTCTGCATAGGCTTTTGTCTTTCGAAAGGCTATGGTGAGTTGAAAGCGAGTTGTCAGAATTGGCCTGTTATTCATGTAAATTCATAAAATTGCTGAATTATAGCAGCTCATGTCAAAATTTTGTAGAATTTTGTGATTTAAAAAAAATCAATTTGTTCAAATTCTGGTAGCGACCCCTAACTTTTTTTTTTAAATTGTGAAATGTTCGCGGTTTTTATTATTTTGAATCTGATTTTGATATTTTTGCTTAAGTATTTTGTAAATTTTTTGCATCCATTTTCATTGTTTGTTTTCATATTTACTTAACTTCATAATCATTGCATACTCTCATCTAAAATGACTTACTGCTGTAATTCTGGAACTCGGGTAATTTCCAGTGGAAAGCTTTGGGTATCCACCACATGCCAGTGGAGGACATTCATCTTTGATGCCGCCATAGCATCCAGAGTTCTGCTAATCAATTTCAATGGTACGTAATTTCGGGCAGTGTCCAAAAGTAGGCCTCGATGGGGGTAAATGGGTCTATCGCGGACACGGGCAGCTTTCACCAACAACAGACCATTGCTTTTTTATTAAAAAAAGTAGCAAACGGCATTGGTAAACATGTACATAAATAAGTTAGTAGTATACGTATGTATGTATGTATGTTTATATGTCTACTGCACCTACTCTATGCTGCCCGTTATAAGGTTGCTTATCGTCTCCAGCGCATGTCTCGCCCCGTACACTGTTTGCGCTTTGATTTCAACAAAAGTGGCCATTTCTGCTTGCAATAATTTTAGCATACATAAATATAAATATATTAGCTACTAGTTGATACTTTGTTTTTATTTTTATACGCACCTGTTGTTCGTATAGTCAACGCGTAGGTCTCATTTGTGTCCCAATCCAAAACCAGACTATTCGAACTCACTGTAATCTTTACTAGCACCTCTTTGCTGTCGGGCAGTGTACAATTTCGCACACACTCTTTCAGAATGTTGCTAAGGAAAATGCGATTCGATTCGCGCACATATTGCGTACTAGCCGGATCGGGTGCAGCCACATTGAATCTCACCTTCCAGGGATCGAAACGTATGCGTTCATTCGACAGGGTGCAGTCGCCGGTGGGCATTGGCCATATGCCACCATACTTGCCACACGAAAGCCGACAATCATTTTGGCTCTCAAAACGCTTGACATCTCCAATATTAGCCGCCTCATCGATGACACACAAATCAGTCGAAGTGCAAATCCATTTAGGGCTTTTCAAAGTAGAATTGTGTAGGAAGAAAGAGAATTTAAAAGTTTAAGATAAGTCATTAACTGTTATAACTTCATGATTTAACTATTTTAGCGGAAGCGGCCACATTACAAAAGTTTTAATTTCCTACAGAATCGACCTGTGTAATGAACTTGAATTAAGCTTTTATTTGAGAAATTTTGAAAGTGGGTAAACAAAAATAGTTTTAAATTTATTTATTTTTATAGTTTTATATTTATGTAAACGAGTTATATTTTCAGCAAGAAAAACTTTGCTTCGAAGTTTTTAAAAAATTGGCTTATCAGCTTGCAATTTGCTTTGGCTCGGTATCTACAAACCTTGGGTTTTCCGTTTGCGCAGTGACGACTAGGAACAACAGGACAATGACCAATCTCAAAAACTCACTAGAGATTGGCATTTTAATGACCCTCTGTGTTTTTTATGCGTAGTAGTAGTAGTAGTATTTATTTTTTGTTCTTTAATTAAATCACACGAATGATATATCGTCGTTGTTTTTGCAAAACCGCCCATCGCCCTATCTTACGGCACTCAAATTTTACCGCCTTGATAGGCGGTATTTTCTCTAGCTATTATTTTACGAATCTGTTGTTTTAATAACGATTTAACGATTTTTATGCATAAACCTCGATGCCTGGAGTTCAGGTTTACCAAATCTCATTTTTGCCACAACGGCGATTTAGGCGGTTTTACAACTGGTCAATGGACGGTTTTGCAATAACATCGACGATATGTATTTTGTAAATTTTATTTGTATACATACATATGTCTATATTTACATATGTACTACTTATTATCTTATTAATACTAGAGTTGGGCACTTTAGTTCTTTTGAGTGAACCGTTCAGTTGTTGTTTGTTCAACTTAGTAAACTAGCTCTTTAGTTCATATATCGACACCTCTATGGAAGGCCGACCTATCTCGGCAGCCAGTTCGCAAAAGGCTTATCTCAACATATTTTCAATATATTTTCAGTTGAGATAGCGCATTCTTGGAAAGTTTTCTGAGATAGAGCGTTTTTGAACTGGCTGCTGAGATAGGTCGATCTTCAACTCATATTACTAGCATACATATTACATACAAAAGAAAAACTTTGGTAATTTGAATTTACATACATATGTACATAAAAAACGTACATAGATACCCAGCCAGCAAAGAAACGTAAATTTTGCCGACAGTGCAGTTTAGTTCAATTTTCCGTATCCAAAAACGAATAGAAAAACTCCTACAGTTATCATAAATTTTCGTCTCTGGAAATCGTTCGACATGTTCGAAAAAGATGATGTCATTTGAAAGCAATAATTGTATTTTATTTGCTCAAGGTAAACATTTAAAAGCATGCATGCGAAGTTGGCAATGGCTGAGCGTGTAGAGGAATGTGCCGCTATTTGTTAGCTCTCAGAAGGTGCCGAATTCCGTCGGGCGCTTCCTAATTTTATTTTATTTCTCTTGAACCATGAAAAAGTATCCGTGAAGTGCAGAAGGAACGCGTATTGAACGAAAAATTCAATCAGACGAATTTCAGAACAAACAGCCGGAAACGTATCCGTTTCACATACTGTTGTCTGTACATACGTTTCTGTCGCACACTTTAGTGGGAAAACGGATCGTCAAAGTATCCGGAAATGGAATCACTAAACGGGCAAAAATCCGCACCATAGTTGGGACGAAAGAGGCGTAAACGTCTGGTGTGATAACTTCAAGCCGCAATTTGTAAAATTTAATAAGCTTCAATGACCAGAACCATTCTTTGCAATAGGATCACAAACCACGATTGAGAGAATACTATCATTCTTGATCACAAACCACCAAAAAAGAGTTTAGGTGAGAAGAAAGAACATATAGAGAACTGCACTGGAACCAAGTCACTGGCCAGCGTCAGGCAAAGAAGCCATTGGGAAAATACAACATCAAAATACATGATAAGCTCCATGAAACCTCCTAAAGAAAGCACTAAGATTTCTAGCAGGCATCTTAACAGGTCATTGCAAAATAAGAAGTCATTCACACAAACTCGGTATCTGGTATAATGGTTCATGTCGCTTCTGTGACATGACAGCTGCAAATTTGGAGCATATATTCCTCGAATGTGATGCAGTGACGAGAAAACGAGAGAAGTACCTCAGGCCACTAAACCCTCAGCCGCGTCATAAGCACTCGATGTCACCAAATAACCTACTGGATTTGCTAGGACATACCGGGGTGCTGTAAGGAGCAAAACGGCGCAATAGATCTCCTGGTCGCAGCGCATTACTTAAGCGAATATCCATCTTTATTTTGACTTCATATTCCAATTTAGCGGAAAATTTTATATAAAAAATGATGATAAAATGTCACAGGTCGGATTTCTGGTCGAGAAGTGTAATTTTTTTTTTGCGTAACAGGAAAAAGTTAGTTGAAAAATTACATCAAAATCAAAATTAAACACTCGGGTTTCCGATTTATGTTATTGCTAACAGTTTTATTGTAACTTAGGACATGGTTTCGGACTAGTAGTAAGTAGTATCATTGTATGAAAAATATGTAAAAAAAATTCGCGCTGATTCCAAAAATTTTACCTCTCAGAGCTAGCTTGCAATGAAAACGTATGTAAATCGTTATTTTGTAATTTACAAAATTTTCGAATGAGTTACTGTAGAAAAGTGAAATCAAAACTTTTTTTTTTTTAAATCTATTGTTATTGAGCCTTGTACCACGATTATGTTTATTAGGAAAAATGGAAAAAGCAACAAAGTCTAAGCGGTATTTCGAAGATCACCACATCTCCTCCTGATGGCGACTTCTACCGCTTAGACTTTGTTGCTTTTTCCATTTTTCCTAATACACATAATCGTGGTACAAAGCTCAATAACAATATTACAATGAAGTGTTGACAAATACTAAATTTTTTTTAAATCCTAAAACTTAAAATTAAGTCGAGTGGAAGCCAGCCTCGTACCACATGTACGATTAGAAAACAAACTGTAGTCAATTTATGCTATGTAAACTGTACAAACTTGAATGAAAATATGTATGCGTACATATATATTTAGCCTGTGGCCAATTGTTTGCATTAAAATTTTTATAAGAAGTTATAAACCGCTTGCTCTTAACTCGTTAGCACTCAACACATATGTAGTAATAAGTAAGTCTTTAATAAAGCTATTTCACGATTTGAATAAACACATCATGTTTGTATACATATTAATTCGCTTATGTATGTACATATGCACCGGTATATTTATGTTTTTAATTTACACGAATAATCATCATGATTAAATAATTAAAGGATAGTTAAACTGACAGTTGTCTCTCTTGCAGCGCTCCCTTAGCAGTGGCACCGTGTTGCTTCTTTGCAAATTTACCTGAAAAAGTGTAGCTTTCATGTGAAATAGAATTATACGTTTTTGTACGCATTTTGTATGCATTTAAAGCGCATTTAACTGATGAAACAAAAATGGTTTTTAAATTTCATTTGATTTACATAAAACTCATAAATAGTAATTTTATATTAATTTTTAAGTTCTTTGGCAGTTTATATACCACTAAATAGCACATAAATCACTTAATTCACGTAGATAGCTTAATATTTCTTTGAATAAGTGCCTACTTTGCGTACTTTTCTACTACCATTTTCACACCAAGGGATTTCATAATTCCCCTTTCTCTCTCTTTCGTAAATGCAACCTTTTGTAAGGGAGTGTCAAACCGCGGCTGTCAATAACTAACCTTTAATTATTGAATCATGAATAATTATCAGCTTTAACACTTCACACATGCTACTGATTCGTATCACTTCTTGTTAGTGACAGTTTTTTCTCACATCTTTAAAAAAAAAATGTATCATTACATGGGTAAACAACTTTGTATATATGTAGATCACTTTTAAAATGTTATTGCATATTAAGTCGTGTAGGCCTCTCGGTGGATGTGCATTAATTAAACGCCAGACCGCCTATTGTTTCCAACCACCCACAAGACTCGATTCGCGCTCTCCAATCGTTGCCGCACGATCACCGAACAGTTACAATTGAAAGTTACTACTTGCTTGCCACTACTGAACGCACGCTCGATCACCAGCTTATATGTAGCAACCCATGCAATTCAAACCGCTGCAAAAGCTCAACTAAACGATTTGTTGTGCGCGCTATAAACCTAACTTACACGACCGATAGGCGACCGGCATGTTGATTTGCATGTTGTTGGGTGATTGAAGTATAAAAATGTAAGTATACATAGTAAGTACATATATACTATGTGGTATATACTAGTTACTTATGTATGCAGTACGATAAAATAAGTATCGTGGGGGCTATTGTGTCAGTTCTGCGGGAAAGAGCTTGAAATCAAAAGACCCAATAAAATAAATACAAACATATTTACATATTTACCCAATTAACAATTTTTTTATATCTCAATTTGAGATGCATTTGAGTATCAGTCCATTTCTCAAGTCTCAAATGTTAGTTCTCAAGTGCCTCTCAAATAACTGTTGATAGCGTTCGCAAACTAACCAACTAAAAGGCACTTTTTAATATGGAATTTTCCTTCCAATTCAAATTGAGAAATATTTAATTATTAGCTATTTATCAAATGTGAGTGGCACTGAACGAAATGGGTTTCGAAGTAATTTTTGGCAAAATAAAAAAGGATGATAAAATATACCTTTAATTTTATCTTATATAAAAAGACTTTTATGTATAATTAACCTATTTATGCTATATTAAAAATATGCAAATTAAAAGAAAAAATGCATTCAGTGGAAAAAAATTTCCACATTTTCTCCGATTCCGGGATTTATTGGAATTTTTTGTTCACACAAATATTAAAAAAAAAAATGTTTTATTTGGATTTATGGGATTTTCAGTAGAGCATAAACCCTTTTATCACACTTTTTATATAACATACATACATTTTCTTGTCAACAGAAAAATAGTATTTAATTTTAAGTAGGTAACTATCGATGCAGCAGACTATTTCTTTCTTCAGTTTTTTAATTTTTATGGCCGGTCAGTAGACCATATCGGCAGATCAATCACAAAAAGTCATGACATTATTAAAATTTGTTCGCTCAAATCAATAAATTAAAGGCATTTCAATTCAGACTACCGAAAGACTTCGAAATTTGTGCCAAACAGTTGGAACGGAACGAAATGCTAAACAAAATTTTTTCAAATGTTTCTCAGCCGTTCTTAAAATGATAAACAATGTTTGAGAAAAATTTGTTTGTTGGGTATACATAAATATACATATTTACATATGTATTCCCTGTGTGGCAATTGGCGTAGTCGTATGTTTATTTTTTTGCGTTACAAAGCGGCAGTAGGGCTTGGGTTCGACGACCACTTCAGATAAGAAAGAACAAAATGTTTCCTAGAAGCGGTTGTCGCTCAAACCTTCAAACGTAGACATATGTATGTATGTACATATATTTTTCTTTTCAATAAGCCTTTCGCCATGCGAACAAAATATAAGAGGAGAAGCTTGGCCTATTTTTATTATTATTCTGTGCGATTATTAGATGTATTGTTGTACATATGTATGTTTATATACATAAGGGCTATTCGCGATCCGGTGCAAATGGCCTAGCATCATTGCATTGCAAATTTGTATTGCAAATTATTTGCAATACACAAACAAAATACACGCATTTGCATTTGTCATGGCTTGGCAAATTTGCAATACCGAAAATCCATAGCATAAAAATGCTATGCATTGCATTCATAAACAAAACCAAAGCTGATGCACAAAAATTGTTTTGCAAAAGCTTTACCATGACAGTTTAATAAAGGTCGCTCACAATCCATGGCATATTTCTGCAATTGCATAAATTTGTCAGCCCTTGTGCACCGAATCGCGAATAGCCCTATAGTAGTTACATATGATTGTGGCTGTGACGCTGGCGGGTGGCATACTGCGATGGGCTTGATGCGCCGATGTATGCTAAATGCAGATAGTAAATGTACATTATCGGTATCATTTTCGAAAAACTTAATTCCGATGACTCCGCCAGCCCAAAAACTACACCAAGCAGTGACTCGTTGTGGGTGCATAGTTATTTCATGCAATTGCTTTTGCTCATCGCTCAAGATGATTCTCTTATATATATCGGTATCAATGTTTGGACCATTTTTATGCATTTTTTAACTGAGTAGCGCTCCATGACTAAATTTGCGAAAGACTGTAGCAACAATTTTCTGAACAAAAAAAATAAAATAAATAAAAAATAAAAAACATTAAATTATCACAAACAATTGCTGTCAAAAATCTGCATCACCCTTGTATCCCAATAAACACATAAACGAGGGTGGCATCATATCGAATTCGAGATAAAGTCGAGAAAGTAAATTTCTCGAATATATTTTTTGGGCTCGTTTCGAATTCGAGGCGAGTTCGAGTAAATCAGTTTTCTCGAAATATTTTTTTTTTGTATGTTTATGTATAACAAAGATTACTGTTTATTTATGTTGTTAAAAATGAAATACGGACTCAAATTTATAATAAATTGATTAATAACTCATAATTTTCGCATATTTTTTACCTTTTGTTTATTTACATTATGGAATTAATTTCAGGTAACTAGTTTTTCAAATCCTATAAAACTAGGGTCGAAAAAAATTACAATCACAAACCACCAATGAGCTGAAATCTTGAGTGGAAAAATCAATAATTCAAAAAGCCAACGATTAGAAAAATTAAATATTCTCGAATTCGAGTTCGCCTATCTGTCGCCGCGAAGTATCGTCTCGATAGTTCCATCAGAGCAAACGAGCTCGTCTCGAATTTGTGGCGAATTCGTTGTGTTTATTGGGTATCACCCTATGCAACCATATATGTACATACTCATATGCACTTGTGTGTGTATTTGTATGCAAAAGTAGAAAACAACTTATGCGACAAAAAGCTGATATGCAAGCCAAAGCATTGGGGAGCACACAGTTTAACAGCTGTTCCATTTGCATATGATTGCAATTCAATAACAACTGGACTTTGGTTATACCCTACAATTGTGAGCGACGAATGTTCAAATGCAATTATGTATTAAGAAATAATTACCACTCAAGTATTTGTGGTTTTTACAAAAGAGATATTAACAAAAGTTGGTGTAAAATAAATAGATGTTTATATAAATAAGTGAAAATCCTGTCTATTTTAGTTCCTCCAAGCTCATTGAACTTAGTGATTTTGTAGTCCACAAGTCTAGTCTACTGGCTAGTGTGTACCACAGACCAACTTATTGCTTGACTCCGTACTCAAACAAAGTTACTGTTTTCCCAGCACTTAACTGGCCGCTAGTAGCGTACAAAGTCGATTTTCACTAAAAAGTTGCAGTTTCAGTAACCGTTACTTTCTCTTCAGTGAAAATGCATGTGAGCTAGGGTTGTTAATTACAATAAGGCTATTGATGTATGAAGAATCGATGTTTCGAAAAATTGCATTGATGGTAGTTCGATGTATCGAATTAAAACATCGATGTTTTTATTACCTATGTGTTTAGGAAAGCGTGATGATATTTTTTTTAGTATTACACACAATTTTAAATTGGATTTATATAATTTTTGTTAAAGAATAAACTAAATTATTATAAAAAATAAAAAAAAATTAAATACGAAAAAATTAATTGTTAAAGCTGGTCAATATGTGGTGAGTTTATATTTTGAAACGACGTGTAGCATTAATGTAATGTATTAAAATTTTGGTTTACTTAGTACTGCATACGAATTGTTTTTGCGGCCCGCCGAATTTTCCCCCGATGGCGAGTCGATGCGAAATCGTCTGGCAAATTGGGTGATGACGCAACTCAATTTTACATTTTCACTACTTTTAAAAAAGTTAAACAATTTCTTACTTAAATATGTACATACTTTTAATAACAGGAATTTTTTAAGGGAACTTACTTGGACATGATTCCATGAAAGTACATATTTATAAAACGCTCGCTCAAAATTTTAAAGCGCACACAAAATAAAATAGTGAAAACTTTGTAAAGAAACATCTTTGATGTTTTTCAAAACATCGATGCATTGATTTAACATCGCATTCATAAAAACATCGACAAACATCAATGTTTGAAGCCACGACCATCCATGTTGCTCGATACATCGATGTTTTTTTACATCCCTAATGTGAGCATGCGCTTAGTGATATTTTGCAGCCGATTAGCCAGTTAGTTAAGTGAATTGTCAGCTTCAATCATTTGCCAAACACTTTCATTATCACAGCGTGTGAGAAAATATGTAAAGAGGCCGGCAATTAACTGCCAAACAAATACGAGTAATATCGGACTTCTTATTAGTACATACCTATCGTTGTTTAAAGTACAAAACCGCGTATGTGAGGTTCCATAAATTATTTTAAACAATGATATGTATGTGCACGTTGCGGTGTTTTTTTTTCTAGGATGACGTCCGTGAAGAAGGAAAATACTAAAATTTACATAAAATTAGATTAAAATTTTTTTCCCAAAAAATCACCTCAAATTATAGAACAGTTTATGCTTTAAAGGTCTGCCTAAAAATATTTGAACATTTTATTAACGTAATCAAAATATTAAGATTTAAAAATTTTTCTAAAATGTGTGGTGAGAATGCTGCGGATATACACCAGTGCTCGGACTAAAAAAAATTGTAGGCGGTAAAATCAGGGAAAAGTATTACGAAACAGAAAATATGCAATACATACTCATTTAGTCATCTGAGGTAATTCTTTCAAAAAATATTAAAAAAACAGTTTTTATTCATAAAAAATCCATTTTTAAAGGTATTTACAAACCGATCTAGCTGACATAAATCTTAATATTTTTCCGAAATATTTTGGTAGAAGGCTTAAAATATACTAGGTTTGGTAATACCGCCGGAAAAACCGCAACATTTTTTTGGTGATGCGGTCTAATGTACAGTAGTCGAAAAAATTATAGCCGCACCAAATTTTCACAAGTTTTAAAATATTATTTTTGTTTTCATTTAATTTGGGTTAGTTTTTTATAGTTCATTCATTAAAAACATCCTTATAAATACAAGCTTAAAGGCAGTGTCACACGATTGGGTATTTGCCAAAATTTGGTGCAAATCGTATCCCAATTTATTTTTTTTTTATCCCAATCACGAAAATTAATTTGTTGAAATTTTTCAATAGAATATCGCTGTATTGTACCAATCTTTTGACTACAAAAAAAAATGTTCCCATTTTT